CCTCTTCCACACCCTCTACTTCCTAAAATTATGAGGAGGAGAAGCCAAGGAGAAGGAAGAGGAGCATAAGGAAAATGCAATAGAAATGTCTTTATTAGTAAACCCGAACCAAGACAATTTGTTGTCTGTAATGTGGCTGGAAATATAACTGAATGTAGAATTATGTTACCGCCGTTCAGGGATTTTGAGTCACAGGCGAATTAGTGCTTATTTTTCTACATCATGCACGATCATGAATCAGCCAAGGAGTATTGGTCGTAGTCAGTGTTCGAACAAACCATGAAATTGGGGCCAGGAGACCGGATTTGGTGATTATTGACAAGATCAGAGAGACGAGAGCTGTGAAATTATAGATGTGGCAATTCCAGAATGTTGAAAAGTATCAAGACCTTGAGAAAAAATTTCGAAAAATGTGGGTTGTAAGAACAAAGTTGATTCCGGTGGTAATGGGGGATTTAGGATCAGCACCAATGAGTTTGAAAAGCAACCTGAAAGTTATTGGTATGTGTAATCAAATGGTACACACTTATAAGGATTTGGACAAAACGCCCGTGAAATTATTCCCTAATTTCACGAGTATACCATTTGATTACCTTTTAATATCATGGCTGACGAATTATGTTAGCAATCTTGGATTTTTGACATGTTTATCCTAGATCGTATCGATCGAGAACTCCACTCTCTCGAACGTTTAGAACTTAAATTTGACTCAAGTTTAGAATTTTTCCACAAAATACCTGTTAGAATCCTTCTTGATGTGCTGTTTGGTGAGTTCAGGTTTTCTAAAGCGTCTTTATATGACCTGGCATCTTCATTCATGACATTTTAAAACTTCGTCGCCATCTTGACACTGAGACGTACGGAAGGTTGCCATGGCAATTTTGTAATTTCACATGTGAAATTACAAATTATCGCTGAAATTTCTCGCCAAAGTTAAGGAGTAATTCGTCACCTATAATATTAACGTGGAAATCATTGTGTGAATGATCCAGAAATGTGTACTGTGGAGTTCAGCAAGAATCTTAAGAAAGGTGGTCAAGATGTAGGGGAGAGAAAAAAAAAACAGATTGTGTTCCAACGCTTCCCTAGGCAACTTGTTGTTACCCGGAGCCAGAGAACAAAACAGCCATAAGCTGTGTGAATTTCAATTATAATTATAAGTAATGGTAACAGGTCTGAGTGGAGTCCAATTCGGTCTCTAATGATACGAGTGATTAACAAAATCTTAAACACGAGTATGACTACAGACCGAATTGGACGACACGAAGTTCTGTTACCAATTAAACATAACTTAACAAAATTTGTGATATATAAGGCTCTTTTTTTAAACCAAAACACAAGAAATTCCAAGATTCTTTTTTGCTAGCAGTGAAAAAGAAAGCCATTTAAGCGCGCGCCTGATGGCGCGTCCTGTCTAATTACACTGTCCTATTAGTACAGGTAATAGCATCATTTGTAGTGATATTTGGCATAAATACCACGAGTGATATTTCGAAATTGTTATACGTAATTTCACGAGCCGTTAGGCGAGTGAAATTTGAGACAATTTTGAAATATCACGAGTGGTATTTATGCCAAGTATCACGCACAAATCATGCTATTATTTGTTTATACTACTACCCGCAAAAGGTTTGTAATTTTCACATGTAGGTATTTCAAATTAAGCTGAAATACCGCTGCTCTAAGCCAATCAAATCGCAGTAATTTTTCATGTAGTAGTATAAAGGCTGAAATCAGGGCAGTTGATAGCCAATCAGATTTAAGAATTTTGTTATAGTTATGATTATAATCATCATCCTCATCATCATCATCATTATCATCATCATCATCATAGTAACTATAACAATGTGGGAGTTCTTTATACAGATGGCCTATATCACACAAGGCGGTTTTGCGGAAAAAGTGGTCGAAAAGAACGTTCGGTCAATTTTAGGTTTTCAATTCATTAAAATTTATTTTAAAAAACTGCTGCTCCGTCATCTTTTTCTTGGAGTTTTGTGTTACAGCAGGCCTTCATGTCCCCTTCTCCGTAATTTCTGTGAAAACATAGAAAACTGAAAAAAAAATTCATTTTTTTTATGTGAAAGTAAAAGATCGTTTTTTGTTTTAATACTTCTTCTTCTTACCTCCCTTGTGATATTACGCAGATGTTTGACCTAGTGCTCAATTGAACAAGACTTCCTTGCTTTGCATTTGACCGTCACGTCACTAGAAAACTCAAAAATTTATTATTCAAGGCAACGTCACATTCCTCATTTTTCAACTCACATAGTTTCTAGTCAAAACCAGTTTTGTACATTAATTCAGTCGAACCTCAATTAAAGTCATGCCAACACCTATCGTAAGCGACCGTGACCACAATTTTGAATGACAGTTTCCGAACTTTTTATTCTTTTAATCCTCCTGCAAGCGACCATTTGGAATATTAAAGGAAAAAGATGAGTTTTGATATATATTAAGAAACTAAAAAAATTGCTTATGTAGGATTAGATTTACAAATTAAAAAATTCAATGAAATTTATTTCCATTTAGCTGATTTAAAAGCTTAACTTGTTTGACACAAAGATATCTATCCACAAAGGCGTAAAAAAGTCTCTCCTCTTTTCATCTATATATTTGTAATTTGCTTTTAAAAGGCAAGGAGAAACGACCAATAAAATTGTGCTGTTCGATAAAATGCGCCTAAATGCAGTTACATTTTAATCTGTGTTAAATTCTTACATACATTTTCCTTTTTCTTCTTAATTTCATATATAGTTGAACCTGCATTAAGCGGCTAAACTCTGTTTAGCAGCTAGTAATTAACGTCCCAAAGTAATTGTAGAAAAGAATTGTAGATTAAACCTCTATTAAGCGGTCGCTGCCACCTTTAGCCATCCCGTCGAGAGTTTCCCATTGTTTTCACCCTTATTACGCGGCCATCAAGGACTTGATACACTCGGTTTGACTTGTTTTAAAAATGTGATTTAGGAAAATACAATCCCACCTGCAGGTGACAACCGATTGAGGACCAGTAATGCCGCCCTGTCGCCTGTTTTTTTTCAAAATATAAAAGTGATGCTTCTGCTTAAGAATTATATGCTAATTTGCGAGGAACTTCTATTGAGCGGCCGGCCAACCTCCATTAGGCGGCCTCTTGTCAGTATCCCATGGGTTGAACTGTACAATAATACTCTTAGGAGAATTACAGTTTCATAATGTATAGAGTGTTCTCACATGACGTCACGGCGGCCATATTTGTGTCCCAAAACAATGAAACGGTGGCCATGTTATGCAAACGCTTTAGTTTGTTCCCATAAATTTAGATGCTGGCCACGTGAGTGAAAACGCTCTATATAGTTTTTATTCTTATCCTGTACATGACACGACCCCATAAGCTTTTAATTAGAGTGTTTGGTTTTCATACGGATTTGATGATATGTTCTATCGCGAGCCCGTGCGTTTCAATCCTTCACAACCTATAAACAACAGTTTTACCGCACCAAAACTAAATTACGTAAAGATAGACTTCTTCAACAAAGCATATACTAAACAAAATCATATAAAACAAAACCGTCCTCGCTTACAAAACTAATGTTGGTCGTGATTACTTAACTTTATGATCATGATATTTGCCTTAATTTCACTTTGCTTTAAATTTACGGACTGGCCTTTTTTAATTCTTAATTCTACACTGTGTGTTTACTTTACCGACAGTTGTCTCCTGCTTCGCAGCCAAAGCTTGTTTGAGGACAAATAAGAGAGAAAACAGTTACTTTCGGTTCCCATTGCTACAACATCAAGTTGATTTAAGTTGAAAATGAGGATCACCAACGGCTATAAGGGTTCATTAGATAATGACAAAAACAATTAATATGATTGCAAAATCATAATCCTGTCAGTGAGGATGATTATGTCCCTAGTCCTGAAGAGATTTTCTACACATCAAAACTCCATTGGCATTCGTTAAGTCTCGGTAACCGTAAGTTCTCATACTGATACCGGATAACTGATCAGACAAGACTATTTCAATGTTGACAATGTTAGTAATCCGATTTTATCACACAAAAATTTAACGTTTATTTCGTCGAACCAAATGTTTCCTATAGCTCATGAATAAACCTTAAGTAATAGTTGGTCACGTGATCAACATTTTGTAAACCGACTAAAATAGTTCGAAAATTTTGTTAGCAGGAACTGAAAGAGCATTTCAAAATTAAGTAACCTGTGAATTTTCAGCAGTATACAAAAGGAGCGATTGCAACGGCAGCCAAAAATTAGAAGGATTTGTATGAGAAAAACAACTCTGCCACCCAATAGCGTATTAGTGGCTTTCCATACAACTCCTTGTAAATTTCGACATTTTTAAACTGTCGTTAAATCTTTCCCTTAGGCATTTAAGGGCTCAAATTGCCTGTTATGAATAAAAAGGAGATATGAGTCCCATAATACTGAAGGATACATTTTACGACAGTTTGAAAAATTTGCAAATTTACAAGGGTTTGTATGGAAGTGACTGGGTGGCAAGAACTGAGTTTCCCATACAAATCCTCCTAATTTTCGGTGGCCGTTGCGATCGCTACTTTTGAGATATACGGTTGTAAATTACAGGTTACCTAATTTTAATATGCTTTTTCAGTTCCTGCTAACAAAATTTTTCAAAAGTGAACTGTTTTCTTGTTTATAGAAAGTTGATCACGTGATCAATTAATGCGAAAGACCCATTCAAGATCAGTTGAAGCTTAAGCCACCGAAACCCATGAGCCAAGTATCGCACTCAAGACTACAATATTAGATATCAGCATTGTGTTTATTTTACCAATCACAACACCCTTTTTTTCCATAGTTATTTTATAAAAGGATATCTAGTGGGGGATAATATTTAACGAATCGTCGAGTAAGCATATAAAACCCAAACACATTCAAAGGAAACAGTTTCAATCCTGAACGCCTGGGAACTACGATTCAAAAGATGAGTCATTCTCTTTTCCAATTCCGTGGCAACGCAGAATAGAGGAAAGATGAACTCAAGTCAAGCAAGAAACGTCTCCGTGCACTCTCCTGTATGCTTGGCCGGTGAAAGGGACGTTGGAAAGCTTCACAAGCCCTCCTCTTTAATTCAATGGTTTCTTATCTTTTACATAGTCATCAACATCATCCCTGTTCCTTTCACTGCCGTTTTGAACGCACTGGTGATTATCGCCGTAAAGAAGAAATCCCGATTGAGGGCGCAGAAGACGAACATTGTATTAGCCATGCTTGCATTGACCGATTTTCTGGTGGGAATTCTCGCACAGCCCCTCTTCGTTGCGGGTCTGATAGCTATCTTGCATATGGATTTAAGCAATGGCCGGTCGTGTTTTACCGAAGTTTTTCTTTTTGCTATCGCAAACTGCTTGTTATCTAGCTCGTTTTTGCACTTGTTGTTAGCAAGCGGAGAACGCTACGTCGCCATAAAACACCCCTTCGATTACATAACAATCGTCACAGAATCTCGTTTACTGATTGCGTCGCTACTGGCTTGGGTTCTTTCTGTGATTGTGCAAATTCCACTTGCTGTTGATGAGACTGTGTTTTATATCCTGCACAGTGCAGTTATTGGTCTTTCTGTTGTTGTTATTGTTTTCAGCCATTTTTCAGTGTTCCTAGAAACTCGCCGGCACGAAAACCAAGTTGCAGCACAGCAAGTTACACAGGAAGCCAGGAAACAATTTGAAAAAGATAAAAAAGCCTTCAAACTAACAGCTCTTTTAGTTGGTGTTCTTTTACTGTGTTGTTCACCGTTCATGTTTATTAGAATTGTGTTTTATATTCTGGAGTACGAAATCCACTTTGAAGCGTTTCATATAATTGTTTTCTTCTCCACCACTGTAGTGTTTCTGAACTCGCTGCTAAATCCTATGATTTACTGTATCAGAATTAGGCAATTTCGTGTCGCATTTATAGAGTTGACATGTAGAAATGTTACCTCACCGAGGGCTGAAGAAATGGAGATGCAATGGTTTGGAGGGCCAGACGCCGCGAATAGACGTGAAATCGGGCAAGATGAACGAGGGCAGGATCAACAAAACATCGAGAGAGCAAACGTTCACGAACTGAACACTTCTGCAGGCTACTGATACTTGTCACTACCTAGGCCTTTGTGATTCATGTTCTCGAAATGAATTTATGGAACCTTTGGTCGTAAAATAGCAATCAGCACAGAAATGGTAGAAAAGATCAATGATTAGGCTAGAATAGGTTATGTGTAGGTAATCTCTGCTAGACTGCACAGACTACAAAGCTATGTAATTTTGCAAATTAGAAACCATGCTAATGAATTTCGGGTGATGGTTTTGCTGAGTATCTTGTTACTTAGCTTTTTACCGTATATTATACATATATTTGCTAAGACGTGTCCGTTTGACCCTATTCTGAAGTAAAATGGTCACATGTTAAGGCATTTATTACATCGTAACATCTGAATGCCTGGTTGAAATACAATGATCGTTATGAATTTATTGAAATTTCATCTCCTTTAGTGAGGAAACTTTGTTTTTGGCCTAGTTACACTGTTTACGAAACGGTTGGAAACATCGGATAGGAAAGCGTGGAAACTGTTTATTAGTTCCCACAATAATTATCATTTAAACGTGGGCCATAAGTGATCCATATTACTGCGGAACAAAGGCCATCCCTGTACTCTTCCGACTAATCGAACAGCACGTTTCAAATGTTGCTTTATAAATAGGTGTCTTTTCAATTATCTTTAATCCTTTTAGTATTATTAATTCACTAATCCATGGTTTAACGATGTATCAGATCTATGTTCAGCATTTCGTAATAATAATTTGTCACATTAAAAGCATTACATTACAGAGAGCATTACGAAACTGGTATATTTTCTTTACTACAGCTTATTATAACCAAAAACGACTGCGCTCTACTTTTCATACTGAAACTGTATAAGTTGTTTAAAAACACCCTTACAGATGCAAAATAAAAATAGAGGATCCAAGCTCTTTTATTATCGATCACAAACGGAAGTAAAATTTGTTGAATTTCTTAAGTGGTAAATCAACCATGAAATTTGCATAGACAGTCTTATAATAACAAAAATCAGTTTTCTTTTTTCTATTAATTAAATCAATTTCTACAAAACTGTTTTCGACTAGAAACTACGTGGTTTAAAAAATAAGGAATCTCTTGAATGTCTTCATTTGTTCTTACATATGGTCGTCTGGGAAGAAGAGAATATCACATCAGATCATAGATCAGTTTTTTAGTTTAATTTCTACTTATCTGCGTAATAAACTCACAAGGGAGTTAGGAGAAGCAGCTAATAAAACGAAAACCGATCTGTTGCTTTTATAAAATAACTTAAACATGGCAACGAAATTTTTCAGTTTAAATATAGGGAAGGAAATATGAATGTCTGTTAATAAGGTAGAACCCAAAGAAAAAATAAACGAAAACAGCATGAAACCGCAGTTAAAATCGATAACAACATAGACAAAAAGCTGGCGGCTTCGACGATCGACAAAGGCAAAATATATAGTTTACAAATCCCACTGTGGCTTTCACAAGCACTCATGGACGGTCGTGCAATTGATTTCAGTCAAAATTGGCAGAAGTTGAACCTTAATTTCACATATATGAATTTAAAAAAACTTCACAGTATAACCGTTAATAGACTCAATATAGCACAATTTTTCTTAATAAAACGTACAAATTACCGAAAATTCTCTTTGCAATCAACGACAACCGCTTATAAATACGTTTCGCAATTCACAAATTAATTTTAAGCTAAACAGTAAAGTTTTCTGTCTGTTGCTGTAATACAACGTTTTCACATGACGTCACGGCGGCCATATTTGTATACAAAACAATTAATCGGCGGCCATGTTTGTGCACAAAAAAGAATCCTGTGGGAATTGAACTCTTTTCACATGTTAAAACTTTCTTTTATTCCCGAGCAATTTGCAAAGCTGCTAACCACGTGACTGAAAACGCTCTATTGTTTTCTGCCAATTTGACGCTGGTTCACCCGCACTCACTATTTAGTTTTGAGAAAATTTCGTTCTCGTAGTGGTCCTCGTCATAGAATCTAGTGCTACAGGAAACTACCGTTAAGTAGCTTTCATTTGAATGGTCGTACTTAAGGCTTTCATCCACAATCAAACAAAATTAAGGCATCATGGCAAAAACGTACAACAGATAAGCACTTTTCTTTGTACGCGGGCTACGAACATGTCGGAGACGTCGACAGATCACAATACATAGATATAAAATAAAGCTTTATTTCACATTAACTTACTATAATTAAAAATGCACTCTGTTCACTCAAACTCTGTACAACTGTTTTAAAAATTTAAAAACTAAAGATTATTTATTAATAGTAGACTGCAGTAACATTAATGTCATTCTTTGAACGCTGACACAATTAATGATCACACTACGCAACTTAGATGTTCATACAAAACTGTTTTCAAATCACTTAGCATCAAATATGGTCTATTCATAAATAATTAACCTTCATAAATAATGTTACGTTTCCACCAGATCGAGAAAATGCTTGTAAGATTCCTATCACTTTCAAAAACTATTGAAAAAGAAAGTGATCTATAAAAATTGTCAGTTTTTAAACTGAATGTTCCCGTGGCTCCTTTAAATGTGAATTCAGATAAAAAAAAAAGTTGTACCACAAGATTATATTTTCAACGTCTCGTGTAACTGCATTTTGATATCTGGAGACAAATAGTGCGGATGCAACGATGAAGCTCGCTTGGTTTTATTTCCAGTTTCACTCAGTGTCTATCTTCTTCTTACAACCACCTGTTTTGAAGAATCAACGAAAGTTTTAGCCTCTTAAGTTTGCGGTAAAATGTAGTTTCTATCGAAATTCAAGGTGTTAACCATAATTAAAAATAACAATAATTAACATAATGATTACTAAATACATATTATTATTAATTCTTGAATATCTTCCCGATTCTGATTGGCTAAAAGCACACGTTTAATTCACCATAACCAGTTACTGATGACCAAATTTGGAAGAATTTTGTGTTTAACGAGGAAATGACGTCAAAAATGCAGCGTTTTCACAGGTTAAGGCACTGTTAACCGAGAAGACCTGGGGACGAGTTTGAGTTGTTTTGATTGTGAACTTGAAAAATGGCGGACATTTCACTCGTTTCAATAGTAAGAACTAGGCGAAAAAATACCTAAAAACATGGCAAGAACAGCAAGAAGACAACTCCAAGAGCGACATCTGCTATTTGGAGAATATTTGCGGAGCTGGACAAACCTAAACGTACACTATCGAAGATGAACTTAACATTGATGGATCGATGGAGATAAGCATGTTTTAGCCATGTTTTTAAACTAGGAATAATTTTGAATGAATAATAAAACAATTATTGAATTCGGCTTTCGTATCATATGAAAAATTATGGAGATCTCTGAGGGTGTTATCCGCCTCGGCCTACCGCCTCGACGGATAACACCATCCTCGATCTCCATAATTCTTCATAAGATACTCAGCCTCATTCATTAATTGTTAAATAGTTAATTAATTAAATCAATGATTAATTAGTGATAATTTACAATAATTAAACATATAGACTCTCATTAAAGAACTAGTAGCTTCCTCTTTCCTTAATAGACCTCTCTAGCTTGTACATTTGCTTTCCTAATAGAGGTCCCAGGGGAATTTGACCCTAAATAATGCGTAGATATGCACGTGGATAAAACGAAGTTTAAAAGAAACATTTCTCTAGAGTATTATCACATGACCTGTATTGGGAAAACAAAACATACAAGCTACAGAGGTTGACATGTTGTTGTGTGATTCTAGTAAACTTACTCGCGTTGGTTGTATTTGTCCATACACCGGAGACGAGCGTCTAACTTGAACCCAAGCAGAACCTCTTACTAGCCGACCTACAGGATAAAATATACGGGCTGGTAAGATAAATAATCAGTGGAATAACTTCACAGCTGTCGGTTCATTTATGTTACCTGTGTTGGGCCTCGTCAAAAGCGTTCTGGACGATACAGGACTTGAAGTTTGCCTGAAGAAAAAGAAAGAAAATGAGAAAAAGAAGAAAGAAAAGGGTAGCGCAGTGGTGAGAGCACTCGCCTCCCACCAATGTGGCTCGGGTTCGAATCCTGGCGTCGACCCCATATGTGGGTTGCGTTTGTTGTTGGTTCTCTCCCTTGCTCCGAGAAGTTTTTCTCCGGGTACTCCGGTTTTCCCCTCTCCTTAAAAAAATTTCAATTCGATCTGGAACGCACAGACACGTTTCAACGAGTTCTTATCCACTCCTAAGTGCTCCGGGGGTGAAAAAAAGTACAATTACAATTACAAAATACGACTCCCCCCCGCCCCAACTGAAGTTCTTTACTAACAGTGTATAGAGGACCTCCAAGAGACCTATCGCTTCACCGAAGAGCATCACCTTAAATAAGACAGACAGTAACAAAAGGATGTAACATTAGGACCGTACCTAGGGCCTCTTACGATAGGTGACGACTTGGGTCGCCCAACAACATTCAGTCCTTGCATCCATCCAGGCAGGGGTACTGACACATGCTTTACAGAGGCACTGTTGATGTCCCGCCCGCCTGCTAACCATCGATCCGCCTGCTTGAACGGAATCTCGCTCGGCTGTGTTGGTGACGAGGGTCTCTGTGGGGGTGGGGAGGATAGAGGGTTTGCATTCGCCCTTGTAGTTGCACTCCCTACCCTGGAGGGGACCCCACTGTTTGCAGCCTTTTTGATGACTTCAGCGGTCCTCCAAGCGTTTATTCTCGCATTTTCAGTGTAGGAAACCATTTCTTCCATGTCTGAGGATCCTTGGTAAAGTAGATATGTCTCTGCAGACTCAAGCTCATCTCGTGCATCTTCGTCAAGGGTGATATCCTGTTCAGGAACTTGTTCATCGATGTCCTTGCTAAAAAAAAAAAAAAACAGGATGAAGAACAATACGATCGTGTGAATTCTCCGTGGCGTTATCCCATCACTTTGTTCACTACAGGTTTGGATGTCTTACTTAATAATGGGGTATCTAGGTTGATCACTTCTTCACTATTATTATTTTAAGATTTTTATGTTTGAAAAATAAACTAGAACCAAAATTGAAAATTTACGTCGGTATCTGTTTGCAGTTCAATGGCTAAGAGACAAACTATACAGTGCTGTTTAGGCTTTATGTCCTCTCGTTTGCACCGGTCCCGAGTTGTTTTCGTTTATGGCAACTCAAACTTATTCCATTTCAAGTAAAGTAAAAAGCAATCAAACCTGACTTCATGAAAAAAAAAAAGATCCTTTCTTATATATGAGTGGAGATTAAAAAATTAACTGTCAACACTGGAAAAAATCTCACAAATTGAACTTAAGCTACCAAACAGTTTTAACAGCGAAGAACGGTACCAATGTTAGTTTTTCAAAGGAAAACAGCTTTTAAGACCAGTAAAGTTTACAACAAAGCGTCGTATAAAAATCAAAATGGTGGATCTTTGTAGGTTAGTACCACAAACGAATGTCAATGTAATATGTAGGAAAAGGAATGTTTGCTTACAAGAAACTGATGTGCTTTTTTTTTGGACTTGATAAAGATGGCTTACCTGTTACTTTCAATTTCATCTTCCACAAGGCAACAGTCTAACCCAAAAAGATAACAATATGTGAGACAAAGTCGTAGCCTCAATAGTGGCATATTAATTTTAAGACTGAGTGATTTTTAGGGCGTCAAAAATTTACAGTAGTTACATTTACAATAACCATATTTTTTCGTGATTGGCTAAATTGTCTGGCGACACTTTCTCAACAAATCAGACAAAAACCGTACATGGTCACAGCAGCTTTCCAGCTCTTGGGGTCGGCTTCATGTAATTTCTTCAAGTTCCCATTTCTGATTGGTTCACTGGATTTTCTGCCTGCGTTCTCAGTTACACCGCGCTTGGAAACGGCTGCATAGTATGCTTTCGCGCCAAAATCAATGGTGACGTGCATGATCATACGTGTTTTCCCGAGTCATTCGCCTACTACTTATAGTTGCTTTGAGTTATGCCTGGCTTACTTGCTTATGGGATTTTCCATCTACGTTCTCGTTACCCATACAAACTACATTTAGTTTGTAACATCCAACAATAACTTATCATCTAAAATAGAGGCTGTTTACATGGATAGAGAATGAAAATTCCTACCAGCAGGATGATCCTAAAAGGCAAAACAACCTTTCGTTGGGTTTACACGCAGAAATTTCGGTCCGTTTTTGCCACGAAGAGACAGAATTAATGATGGCAAGTGACACACTTGTGTACCGAAAAATACTGGTTATAAAGGTCAACTTAAATAGCATTGCGACTGAGGAGAAAGTCTACTTTCTCCCATCAATCATAAAAGGACAAGTACACTGCTGGCAGAGAAGCTGTCATGATTCATAATTACATCTAACGTTGTTCACATCAGGGTTAAATACAAAAAGAATAAGGTTTGGAAGATACTTATAATAATTGAGAGAAAAAGAACTTAAAAA